TTCCAGTGTTCCTTCTTCAAGGCCAAAGAAATCATAAAAACTATTTGGTTCCCCGCCCCCAACACCTCACTGTGCCCACCCACCAGGTGGGTGTGCCCTACTATTTGAGAAGCACAGACATAAAGACTAGAAGTTTTAAAAGTAGCCTAAACTCATTTGGAAATCAAGATGATTGTCTGGATCTCAATAATGTTTTTAATATATTGTTTTAAAAAACTTTAACATCAGGAATTTTCAAATACTTTCTAGATATATATTTGAAAAAAAGGATAGGAGTCCCTGATGGAATGATCTTGATACATGCTGTTAATCCTGATAAATGGGTTTCATATTGATTGATTAAATGTCTTAATAATCTGGCCCAYGTGTTCTTCTCTCCCAGGTTACTCCAACGCGACCTTCCTGACCAACAGCACGGTTTTGACCTTCAGAGGCAACGGCCACATCCTGCGCAACATAACCAGCGTGTCGCTGACCCTGCGCACACGCAAACGTAACGCAGCCGTCCTWCACGCAGAGAAGGATTCCTTCTTCATCACCATCTTTGTCCAGGATGGCAACCTCTCCGTGGAGCTTCAGAGCGCTTCTGCAGACGAYGGCGACGAGGAGGAGGGAGGGCCGCGGGTCTTGAGTCTGAGCAGCAGGAGGAGTGTCAGCGACGGGGAGTGGCACACCCTTCAGCTGTTCATGACGGATCCCTGGGCTCCGGCCTCTCGTTGGACTCTGGTGCTGGATGAGGAAATAGAAGAGGCCAGCATCTCTAAGAACCTGGAGGGCAACTTGAACTTCCTCAGACAAGACGTGGACGTCTACCTGGGGGGCCTGTCCCTGGATGCGGGCTGGTCCCTGGCAGGGTGTCTGGGCACGGTGGAGCTGGGCGGCATCGCCCTGCCGTACTTCAGCTCCTCAGACGTGAACCTCCCACGTCTGCAGGAGGAGCAGTTCGTCCAGTCGTCAATGAACCCCCCGCTTGTCGGCTGCAGAGGGGCGTCCGTGTGCGAGCCCAGCCCGTGTCTGAACGACGGGAGGTGCCAGGACCTCTTCAACACCTACAACTGCAGCTGCTCCAAGGAGTGGGCCGGGAGGCGCTGTGACGTCTTCATAGACGCCTGTGATCCGAGTCCCTGCGTRCACGGCAACTGCTCCGTCACTTCACTCAGCTACGAGTGCACCTGTGAGCTGGGGTACACAGGTGTGGACTGTGAGGAAGAGCTGGACATGTGTGAACAGCACATGTGTGCCAATGGAGGCACCTGTCTGCATGGGCCGGAGAGATACGCCTGCCTATGCCCCGAGAACTACACCGGACCTTTCTGCAGGTAAATACTTCCTAAAGGTACTTAATGCAAAAAAATACTAAATCAAACATAAATTAGATTATTCTAAACATCAAGTGGTGCCATTTGAAGGAGTAAACAAAGCACTCACTAAAAACCACGTGGAAGCTTGAATCACGTGATTGACCTTGAGTTAAACACGAATGAATCAGACTAAAATTATATCTATCAGAAGATTTAAACACAAACAGTTTTAGCAAAACTTTTACGCTGGTAAATTCGATATTTGGCCTCATTTCAGATGCATTGTACGACTGGCTTGCCACACACTTTGGGCTCTGGAGAGTATATAGACAAACCCAGTTTGTCCAAAGAGGTGTCAGTCAAAAGAAGACAACCAATCAAATTGTTTGGACGGCCTATTGGGCAAATTCAAAGTCCCTGGCAGTGTGGAGGCTATAAAGAGGCAAGAAATAACCACGAACTGGGAATGCACTCTGATGGGTACATTGATAAACGAGAAGAAAAAACAGAGCAAAATTAGCCAATCAGCGTTTACRCTTTAAAAAYGCCCACTTTGAGTCCGGAGATAAMCCCTCTCTTACCAGCTCCTCTTTCACCCCTTTTCTGAGCTGTGTCTCAGATCAACTCATTTTGAGGCTGTCTCTTTAAATCCAAACAAGGCGCTTCACACTCCGACCCCCCTGCAGCTTCCAGACCGGTCCATTCTGGTTTGATAGAGGGGTTTACAACTATATAGCGGCRCAGAAACATTTTATTTACAAATTATTTAAAAGACCAACTACAGAAGACTTTCTGTGACGTAACRGTTCAGAAAACATCATGGAAAATACAAAAAACTGAACAGGTTGAAAACATATGAACCAAACAGAACTAGTAACTCTAAGTGCACGACAAATTGTGATTAATGGCTAAAAAAAAGTGGATTTTGTATGATGTGTCCCCTTTAATATCTCTATGCTCCAAAAAGGCCTTCAAACACCAAAAGCGTAACTTAGCAAACACAAACTACACAAATAAATGCTGCAAAATCGCACAGCCGAGGGACCGCGCCGCAACACGAACAAAAAAGCCTTGACTGTAAATGTCTCCACGTCTCCGCCTCTGTTCGGCTTTTCAACCACAGTCACAGTGAGCGCCTCAGAAGCTGCGTTTCTATTCTAGTGTCAGCCAGAAAAGGCCTCAGTCTGCTACACAAGGCTCTCTGGTTCAGCACCAGCTTCTTTCCCCCTGTCATCTAACATTTGCCTCTGAGAACCAGCAGGGGAACGCCTCCAAACATTTATCCCGTAAACACACACAGCCTCGTGCCTTTTTGCCTTTTTTTTTTTTTTTGCACATGGAAAAAACCTTTTTGTGAGCTCCTCAGTAAAAAAGCAACCAATGGAGCGATCTCCCTTTGCTGGGAACATCTACGCCGTATAGTTTTCAGCAAAATGACTTCCCTTTGTTTGTCTCTCTTGTTTGTGCTTCTTTCTTCCTCCTCACATTTTTTTTCTCCCTCTCTCACCTCTCTGTTCCTCTGCAGTGAACGTGTGGAAGAACTTCCTTGGTACATCGTTGTCAGAAATGTGTGAGTGTTTTTTTTTCTCCCTCATGTGTTTTCAGGTGTTTGTTTCCTGTTAGATATTTGTCTCTCACATGTCACGCACGATGCCTCCTGCTCTTTTCTTTGGCTGTGTGCAACAAAATGCCAAGAAAAGCAAATATTAACACTCTTTCTGACAGTGTTTGTTGTCAAATGAGCCAACAACTCTTTCAAATGAGTGACAGTTGTTGTTCAAAAATGATCCGCACTATCCACACAGAAGCTTCCCTTACAAAAAAAATTGTACCTTTTCAAAAATAAGTGCGTATTTTTGTAACCACTGAGGAGAGAATTTCAAGTCGTGAACAGACAGTGTTGCTGTGATTCATGCAAATGCAAGCATTTTGTTTTTTTATCCCTTTACAAGTGATTTGACATTCTGCTTGTGTCCAATAATCTTGTTATCCTGGTCCCCTCGTGTTTTTTTTTTTTCTTCTTCTTCTTCTGAGGAACAAAGCAGTAAAACATAAATAACGTGTATTTGTACTCGTGACTTTTCCTTCAGACGGCCCAAGCTGCCTGTTTCTGTGTGCGGTGATGACAAAAGGAACTACACCTGCTTTAACGGAGGGAACTGCACGGACCGGGAGCTGTCCTGTGACTGTCCGTCAGGCTTCGTCGGGCACAGGTAGGACACGAGAAAACAAACAAAAGTCAACAAATGACTGCAAACGTACTTGATAAGGTCCAGAACAGAGAGATAAGATTAGCTTCAATGTTAGAGCCTGAGCATTAGTTTGTAATAGATTGTTTTTATTTTACAAATCTCTTACTGTATATAAAACTTTATAGAAAAAAATATGACACTAAGTAATATGTATGAACATGAAGTGTTCAAACGATGGGCCTGATGTTTCTTTTTCAAACTTTGAGTCTGTAAAATGCCTTATTATTATTATATGAATTATTACATGAATTATTATACACCGGGAGGAGGCCCCGAGGAAGACCCAGGACACGCTGGAGGGACTATGTCTCTCGGCTGGCCTGGGAACGCCTTGGAGTTCCCCAGGAGGAGCTGGAAGAAGTGGCTGGGGAGAGGGAGGTCTGGGCCTCCCTTCTGAAGCTGCTGCCCCCGCGACCCGAACCCGAATAGGCGGAAGAAAATGGATGGATGGAATTTATTTTAGAGAAAAGGAAGGGGCTGATGTTGGAAGATTTTTTTTCTTGCCCCTGCTACCTTTCATTTCATTATAAATTGTGTTTTGTTTTTTATTGCACATAATTTTTTCTTCTTGTTGTAATGAAACAAACAAAGAAGCAATGGATTAAATAAGTAAATGATGATAAAAAGTGAGTTAACAAAAAAAAATAATTAAAAAGCATCAACAATAGCTCAGGCAATGGATTAAATAAGTAAATGATTATAAAAAAAAAAGGAACGAGCTTTGCTGTGTTGTGTAAAATTTACCATTACATTGTAAATAAAACCATATTTTTATGATCTAACTTTATTTTAACAGAATGGGATAAGAGTTGAAATAAAAAGTAATACCACACTGTAAATATTTATAGACCCACACCACAGTACTTTACTTACTTGATTAGATTATTTTTAATGTACAGAAACAAAACAGGCCCCAGGGTTGAGCCCTGTGGGATACCCCTTTTTGCAGTTTGTTCAAATCAAACTGATATTTTCTAATAAACACGCACCGATGATGAAGTATTTTAAAAAAATAGTAAAAAATGTGCTTTGTTTAAGTTTTAGTGCCAGTTATTTAGAGAAAACGTGTCTGGTGTTGATTGTGTTTCTGTACAGTCATAAATAACATTTTACATTGATTATTTTATTTTAACGAGGTTAATGTGTTCATTTAATTTCATTTTGAAAATATTTCTACATCTAGTGGATTTATTTGAACTGAAAGTTTTTGAACTCCTTGGTAAACTCTTATATAAAAATTTATTATGTTCTGGATTCTTTTCATTTAGCAATTTTTCTCAGCTTATTTATGAAACAGTTGACTAAACAAAAGTTGTGATAGTTTTTCTTTTACTGAAGAGCTTTGATCTTTAGGAGTAGAACTTATTTGTTTTGACCTGTGATTGTGTGTGTGTGTGTGTGTGTGTGTGTGTGTGTGTGTGTGTGTGTGTGTGTGTGTGTGTGTGTAGGTGCGAACAGGAAGTGGACGAGTGCAAGTCCAACCCGTGTCTAAACGGAGGGTACTGCCGCAACCTGGTCAACAAATTCGTCTGCGTGTGCGACATGAGCTTCGCTGGAGACGTGTGCCAAACAGATGTAAGCGACATTTACTTCTATGTGGCGGTGCTGCTGTGGCAGAACCTCTTCCAGCTGCTCTCCTACCTCATCCTGAGGCTGGACGACGGGCCGGAGGTGGACTGGGGAGGGAACGACTGAGTGTGTGTGTGAGTGTGTGAGTGTGTGGTACTCAGGGGACACATTTTTTTGTGCATTTGACTGAATAATGAGGGAAAACAAGAAAGGGTTAAATTAACACAGATTTCTGTGGTTTTATGTCCAGTTCTGCAGAAATATATTGTGCCTTAAATACTTGTATTTAATTTTTTTTTTGTAATTGGCAGCACATTCTTTAATGTAGGTATTTATATATCTTATTTTAACCACAAACAGCCGGTGGATGTTCTGTAGCAAAGTTGCTTTTCATTATTGTTTAAAAGTCAATTAAAACAGAGGAAAACACTAGGATCAAACCATTATTGTCCATAATGTAAACACTAATACATTTTTTTGGCGTTTCTTACCTCCAGTGTGAATCAGCACCAAAGATACTGTCGGCTCCTGGACTTACCCAGAAAGCCTTGCCTGTAGTGAGACGTTCCTTTTTACAACCCCAGTTTGTAAAAGTTATAATAGTGGGTAAAAGTAAAAACAGAAAGCAAATAGTTGCAAATCTTATAAAYCTCCTTTTAATTCACAGTGGAACACAGTCAACATCAAATGTTGAAATAAAGACATTGTACCTATTGAAAATAATAATTTTATGGGAGCAACACAGGTGGGGTTTTTTTAAACTATAGATACCACATTTTTCTACTAAAGAGGAGAGGAATCATCTGGCCTGTTAGCGCACAGTTTAAAAGCCTGCCTCTCTGATGGTATGGGGGTACATTAGTGCCTATAAGATGCGTTACAATTGGGAACACTTTTTGAAGATATTTAGCTGCTTTAAAATTTAAAATACTTTTTCATAAAGAATAAAAATCTAGTGTTTAAAATTTTAACATTTAATATGTTTACTGTGTTTCATGCATGCACTCATTAGTATTCACTTCATGTTGCATCTATTCTTTTCACACCCTAAACATGATTAATTAGCTGCTCATTCACATCCTGGGAGCTGGACCTTAAAGAGTCAGGAACTAAAACAGGACACAACAAAACATTTAACATGCTGAATTAAACAAGTTGAGACTTTTAGCTTTAAAACAGGCTTGTAATTTTTAAAAACCTACCTAAACGTGCAGAATCCTACGTGTCTGTGGGTCAAATGCTGTAAAACTGTGAGGTTTTTCTGTTGTGAAAAGGAAGACTGCTCTGAGTTTCATAYAAAACCATTCGTGGTAAAACTGAGGGAAATGTTAAAATCTGAGTTATTTATAATGTTTCCTGCTGACAATATCCTGTCAGTTGCGTTTGAACTTGATTTCAGGAGCTCCGTTACGGATGAATTTGTGAACTCTGAGAAACAGTGTTGTAGCTACAAAAGCTCCTGGGGGGCCCCGGATGCCTCACCTGTTCTTGATGTGCGTTCAGAGCGGAGCGTGACTGACTGCTGTGTGTTGTTTTGAGAAAAAAAAACACTGAAGTTTTTTTTTTCTTTTCTGTCTCTACAACCTCTTTCTGTCTGAGCCAAAGATATTTTAGGCCTAAATCCTCCGCGGCTCGGGTTGAATCGCACCTCTAAACATTTGACTGCACTGCTGTGGTCAGCACTGAATCAAACAGGTTCTGTAGGTCTGTCTGTGTGGTACTGTTTGACTTTCTGTCTGTAACGTCACCTGTGTCCAATCATCTTGTCTGTCTTCGTCTTTTTGTTGTTAATAAAAACAAAATCAGCCTTCGTTTGTTGCCTGTCCTCTTTTATGTCTTGATCTCCTTCATGTTCACCCATTTTTCCTTCATTTTCACCGAACCGCTTGTTAACCTTCTCAGCAGCTTTCTTCCCGTGTGTTTGCTGTAGTCAGGTGGACACCGTGGCATCAAACATAGACAGTTAATCCTCTTTAACAAGATGAGGAGCCCAGAATAGCCTGGCTTCAGAAACAGACAGGGGTCACGCTCACACAGAGTGAGAACACACTACAGCTCTGTTATTTAAGACTTCAGCTCCCTCACACTTTACAGAGCTTTAACTTTTAAATCACACATGAAGAACACCGATCGTCTCTCAGCTGTTCACCAGCAAACCAAACACAAGCTCTTCCTGCAGCTCGGAGCAAAGTCATCATGTTCTCAAACATGTTCTGCTTCAGTTCAAACAAACTCTGATCAAATCTTCAACTCAARTCATCTCTGGATCTGGAAGCTTCTAGAAAAATCTCCTTCAGAGCGTTCAGAAGGTCCCAGAAACCAGCAGAACTCTAAAGTCTGAACTTCATCTCMGTCAAAAATCTCTCCATTACGCCACCGATGACCAAGCATTGTACTGCGCTCCTCACTTTGGGAACCACTGCCTTAAGAAGTGACCTTAATGAATTCAAACCCACCTGTGTGTAATTTATTCTCAGTGACTATAGATGTTCTGAGGAGGGTTCAGTTTGTTGATACAGCACCAAGTCACAACTAACATTGTTTCAGGGCACTTTACACAAAAAACAATCAATCTACGACGCAGCAGATTGTGTTGAATCACTTCATCACAGTCTTATATCCTGAGCTGAACACTGGTGACAGTGGAGAGGACAAAGTCCCTTTTAACAGGAAGAAACCTCCAGCAGAACCAGAACCAGGCTCAGGACAGGCGGCCATCTGCCTCGACCGGCTGGGTTTGGGGACAGGAAAGAGACACAGGTAAACACAGAAGAACTGGTCCARGTGTATTTTCCTCTAGAAGAGGAACAAAGAAAACACATTATTGATAGAAGTAATTTTAATAAATGTAGAGAAGAGAGACTAAAGACAACAGCAGAGTGAGGAAATGTGCTCAGTTTGTGCTCCAGCAGTCAAAGTCTAGCAGCAGAAATGAAGAATAATTCAAGAAACCTAAGTCTAACTATATGATTTATCAAAAAGGAAAGTCTTCAGTCTAATCTTGAAAGTAGACAGAGTGTCAGCCTCACGGACAGAAACTGGAAGTTGGTTTCACAAGAGAGGAGCTTGATAACTGAAAGCTCTGCCTCCCGTTCTACTTTTAGAAACTGGAGGAACCACAAGTAAACCTGCAGTCTGAGAGCGAAGTGCTCTGTTAGGAAAGTACGGAACAATAAGAGGACCTATTATGGAGAGGATCTCTGTGGGCTACACAAAACATGTTCATTAGATTTAAAACACAAAATCATTTTCAGATGATGAGATTTCACCTGGTCAGATCTGCCTGTTCTGAGCTCCTTTCAGAACGAGCCGTTTATGCAAATAAGCTGCCGTTGGCAACGCCCTTCCAACTTTTTGTTTACATTAGCTCCACCCTCCCAGCACAACCTTTACGTGGKCTATCGTTCAACATTACTCTGTGCAAAACGACAAATCATGTTCACGCCGAACAGCAACACTAAACACACAACACATCACTTAAGCAGCATACAGCAGGGACAGAAGTTTCCTTCAGCTGAAAGTCCTTGGGTAAATCCTGCTGTCGGCTGGTAGAAGTTTACCARTGGCGGGCAGCACTAAGCTAAAAATTAACTCCACTAGCCCTAAAACACTAACTCAAATATTTAGGTACCCTAATTCTAAAGCACTAACACACTGAAAAATTTAGCAAAAGCTAATTCTAAAGCACTAAAAGAACCCAGTCAACCCATGAACATTCTTCAACAAGACAACATGAGTCACATGTTGCCGTGTTGCTCTCTTAAGACTTATCATTAACATTCCACAGCTGGATTTGTGTTCATATATTGTCACCTGGTGGAGAAGTGACACACATACGAACAAAATTTTCAGTCAGCTGTTAACATTAACGTTGATCAATAACATTTATAGACCTCAGTTAGTGCTTCTAAATTTAGCCTATAAAWTTAGCAAGTGCTAATACACTAATAAATTTTAAAATGAGAAAAAGCCCTAAAGCACTAATCAGGAAACTAGTTTCACCTATTAGTGCTTTAGTGCTTTATTGGAACTGTGCCCACCGCTGAAGTTTTCAAAGGAGTCTATTGTGAAATTATTTACACAAACTATCTACATCACTAGGAYATTGCCATTAAAAATAAAATGAAGCCATGGAAGAAACTGCTCAGATCAGACCAAGGACRAACCTTTGGCCTAAAAGAATGCACYACGGTGAAGCACGGTGGCGGMAGCATCATGATGAGTGGATACCATTTTTATTTTTTTTAAGCAGACACAGGTAAGTAGTTAGTGGGACGATGCGTGGAGCTAAATACGATCCTGAAAATACTCTTTAATTGACAGTTCCCGTCCTCCGGTGGCTTTGTTTTAGTTACTGAATGTCGTTGTTGGAACTGGMAACTTTTCGAGTGATAAAAACGGGAAAACACAAACTGCGTGTGACCCAACCACCCACACAAGCTGTTTCATCAAGTCTGTGTGTGTCTCTCTGTGTGTGTGTCTGTGTGTGTGTCCTTTTCAGGCACAGGTAGCCCTGACGGTGAGGAAACGGGGGGGAGATGGGAAGCAGTTTTTCCAGTGTTGGCACTTATGTGGCCATCCTTTGAGAGCAAGGAAAGCGGAGAGGAAGAAATGTGCTTTGCCAGCATAAAAAAAATAATAATAAAAAAAATAGAAAGCAGCATCTGGCGCTGAAGTGCAGTTTCAGCAGAGAGCTGGTGGCATTCACAGAAGTTTGGTCTGCTTCACAGAAACGTATGAGGGCAGCTTATCTGGCGCACACACAAACACACACACACACACACACACATACACACGGAGCAGGTTGATAGTGCTGACAGAAGGGAAGCATCTCTGCTGTCTGTGTGTGTGTGTGAGGCTTCAGGGTGGCCTCGCTGTGCACCTCAGAGACTGGTTAGTTAGACATCTCTGTGTCGGTGTGTGTGTGTGTGTGAGGCTTCAGGGTGGCCTCACTGTGCACCTCAGAGACTGGTTAGTTAGACATCTCTGTGTCGGGGTGTGTGTGTGTGTGAGGCTTCAGGGTGGCCTCACTGTGCACCTCAGAGACTGGTTAGTTAGACATCTCTGTGTCGGGGTGTGTGTGTGTGTGAGGCTTCAGGGTGGCCTCACTGTGCACCTCAGAGACTGGTTAGTTAGACATCTCTGTGTCGGGGTGTGTGTGTGTGTGAGGCTTCAGGGTGGCCTCACTGTGCACCTCAGAGACTGGTTAGTTAGACATCTCTGTGTCGGGG